ATAAGTTTATTCTAATAGACTTAGTTATTCTTATAATGAGGCTATACACTTGACGGGCTTATGACCTAGCTACCCATAGCACAAGGGATTCTAGTTTGGAGACTAGGCACATCTGTGTACCTATTTTTCTCTGTATTTTGCAATAAAGTTATTACAATTTTTTTTCTAAAACAACCACAGGTCTACCACATAGTAACACACATTACAAGTCCACAAACATACGAGTAACATAGACTGACACGTGTAGCTACTTGTAAGTATGTCACACGTAAACCCATAAAACAAACGTGACTGTAAACCACTGAAGAATGAAGACTCATCGTTGCCCTTGCAAATTACGAGCGATTGCATAACAAACCGCAAAGCAACAAAAAATAACATTATTGATAAATTAGTAACAAATATAGGCACGTGTTTCAATGCGTGTTCAACGACCGCCCGATCGCAAACAATCACAGTGAACAATTCAGCTTTATCACCACATGTCGGAAAAAATACGAACAATTAAAAGCAGCATGTTCTTTTACAAACTATAAAGGCGCAACTTGATTGATACATTGTCTGCTAAACTTGAAGTTAAATAACTGATAACATTCAACTGACGTGCGCAAACGTCTCCTTTATCAGATTGTTATCAACTCATTACCAGCGCGTGCTCTTTAGCTCGTTTGTTTGCAACAATACACAAAGAATCTAATTATAAATGGGAAAATTCCTATTATTACGCTCAAATATGAATAGAATATGGCTTTAGTCGTTAACCCTCGTGTATTATTGATAACGCGGCACGCAAATAGATTTTAAATGAGTTTATTAATTAAGATTCGATGAAGAAAGGAAACTTTGGCAAAACTAATTTGAATAATCACAAATATTCCGGCCGTTACTTGAAACAAAGGTCTGGAAGAGTTCAGCAAGTTATAAATTTATAACTTACTAGCTGATGCCCGCGACCACGTCTTTGTAGGATAAGTATGTCGAGTAGCTTGTTATACTAATAATTATGATATATATATATATATATGTTATAATTTTCATAGTTTTATTGGTTCTCCATACAAACTTTAATCTCCTATTTGGGATTTATTAATGTGACGGAAAGTAGCCCATGTCCTTTTCCCAAGTCCCACCTATATTTATACCAAAATTCATTAACACTGTAGTTATTGAGATTTTTTTTGTGAAATAAATCCACTAGGTCCGTTATGAAGACAGAATTACTTTCGCATTTATTATATTTACAGATAACGGTACTGATTAAGAGCGTTTGTGCACTACGTCCCATTCGTGTCAGTTCCGAATCCGAAATGACGGTCCGAAATGTCACAGAGATCATTTTATCTCTAGGTATACAAGCGATATTCGTACTTTCTCGGATTTGAATCGGACTTAGTGCACAAGCGACATCCGAAGTGGGTCCGAGTTTTCTAGATTTGTTTAGTCTCGAATTTGGAACAAACACGAATCGGATGCAGTGTACAAACGCACTTATGATTGTAGATTCTTTGGAAATGGAAATGGTATTATTATTTTGTTTACACTATACGCCAGTAGTGCGTGATCATCTGACTGACTATCTAGCTATTTCCAGTATTTCCGGTTGCGCGTTTGGATAATTTCTGCGAAGTATTCTGCGGTTTTGTATGGGTAGTCCAGTATTTGACCGTTTTGAGGTTTTCCTGTGCCGTGCTATTTCTGTTCCTTTGCGTCAACACCGTACGGGCTATTAGCGTATTTGAGGTTACAACTTTCCTAGAATTTACCTCATTAATTTTACAACATTATTTAACCCAGACGAGCCTGCTTGGCAGGCTTTGATTCTCATAGTTAAAAGTCACTGTTATGTACCATATTAGAATTTATTAGTCATTCATTAAAAAAGCCGCTGTAGCCTGATGATTTGACCTACCGCATGTTAAGCAGAAACCGTGGGTTCGAATCCGGGGTCGCACCACTGAGTTTTTCGGAACTGCTGTGCCAAATTTTATTTTAAATTTTTCATGAGCTTGTCAATGAAGGAAAACATCGTGATGAAGCCCGAACGCGAAGAAGGTTGACAATCTTCGGAAAACGTGTAAAGTCCCCACCCACATTGAACCAGCAGCGTGGCGGACTATGGCCTAAACCCTTAGTTCCCAAAGCGGTCCAGGTGGATCGCCAGGGGTCCACGGGAGACTCGACGGGTGTCTACGTTGGCGTGACAAAAAAGTGGGGGTTCACAATTCGTAAGCGGGGTCCACGAAAATTTATCAGCTTTCGATAGTGAAGAACTAAAATGTTGGCTTGACTTCACCTATCAATACAGGAAGATAATATTTTAAGAAGTTCAGCGATTGTTACTTGTAAAAACTTGCATATTCCATATTCAGTACAACGTGTCTTTACTTTTTTGACATCCACTCACAGCACAATCAATTAAATTCTTGCATTTTTTTTTTCGAAAACTATTAATTTGTGGTTGCAACTCAGCAATTTGCGTTGCAACAATTTCCATAAATAGATCTAACCTACACATTTTTTGTCGAGTTTTGGGAATATGGTAGAAATGTAGGTGCAGGGGGTCCACCGGAACCAGCTAAATTTTGAAAGTGGTCTATGAGAAAAAAGTCTGAACCTCTGGCCTAAACTCTCGCCAAAGAGGAGACCCTTGCCCAACAATGGGAAGCATAAATGGGTTGATGATTAGTCATTTATATAATTATGTATAATGTGGTGACCACAACATTGGCTACACTGCCTAAGGTCATTTACAAACGCGCGTGCCTGTTCTGCATACTTCCGACGTGATTAGACAAATTGACATTTTTCCATCAACACTCGTTAATAGAATGGAATATTTCGACAGTAATGTCTAATCAAATGATGTCTAAGCATTGTTTAATGTAGTCTCAATCTTTTTTAAAAAGAATCTTCTAGAGTTCGATATCTGGAAACAGAATTAGGTATTGATGAAGATAATAAGATGAAATTATAAATAATTTAATAGATTCTCTACAAGTTTTGCGAAAAGATAACAATTCTTAGACGAAACGGTCGTTGCATTAATTATGTTCCATGTTCCAAACACAGATCTTCTAGGACAAATTTTGTCTTATATGCTCCTATAAATTCTGTCTCCTATTCTAATCTATTCCATTTAAAGTCATAAATCAAGAAAACATCTCTAATGACCCGCTAGCTGCGTTTAAAAATAAAATTAAATAAAACAATTTTTTTTATTAAAATTTTAATTGATCTGTTGTGTACCACATTATTTATTTAAAATGTTATTCTAATGTAGGGATTATAACATTTTTTCCTTTATTTTAAGTGTAGACAAAAATGTAATTGTAAAATGTAACTGAATAATAAATTTTCATACATTCTTGAATCTGTATAGCTGGCTGTGTTAGACAGTAATTATCTGTGACCAATATAGTGTATACCATAGGCAAGATAAAAAAATTTGAACGCGCAAAAAAAAATTGAAAACGCCTATTTTTTATATTAACTTAACACAAAAAAATCACAAGGAAAAAAATATACATATCTAGTGTACTTTATATAGATAATTCAATTTTTTTTTCAAATGCGGTAGCACCCTAGACAGCATCAACTCCCCCCAATTGCATCCGAGCCCCCTAGGACTTTTCAACGCCCACTGGGGGGCGGTATGGACCACTTTGGGAAACCATGGTGTATACTTTTACACTTACTAACCATAATGTATAATTGTTATTGTTGTATATGCATCATGGTGGCTTTACAATAAATAATAAATTAATCGTAGCTTCTATTACAATAATCATTCCAACCATTGATGTTTTAAAAACTACAACTTCTTAATCAAATTCAAACTCTTCTGTAACAGCTGACCGATGTTTAGACAAACAAACAAATTGTGCAAGTGGGTGTGATTCGGTGAAAGCAGCTATGGACGGAACGATATCGCTTATTATAATACTAACGCGTGTCGGTATGCCACAAAGACGGCGGGGACCATATTTCTCATCGATGCGGGACCACGGCGTGGGTGCTAGCGGCCGCCCACTCGCCGTCCTCTGAGTAATGTCGGATCCCGCTGGGCCATCAAATCCCCGCGCTTGCTGCCAACCATCACATCCTACGCAACCTCTTGCAAAACATTCTTAAACAGAAGCCTTCTTTACAACCAGCAATTGGTTAGTCATTATGGCAACTGTATTTGGGGCGGCCAGCGTGGCGCGACCGTAATTCAACCTGTCAATAATTATTACGCCGCGTAATCCGTGATTGATGAACGCCAACAGTAGCCGCTGCGATCGTAATTGACGCTGGCCATTGTACTTCCACTGATTGATCGCCCGCGCCTCGCCGCTCCGGAGAGCTTGCGCCATACCTAGAATAAATCCGCACTCTTCATTACAGATGCAAGCGTAATTAGATGCGTGCGTCTGATGAAACGTAAGCTCTGTTTGATTTGATGCAGCAATAGCAGTTGATTAACCGTCGGAGTGATAGCTGGACTGCACCGAATCGTCAAAAATAACGATAACGCTTTAAAAACACAAATTACACTCTTTGCAATATCAAATAGATCTTCAATATCAACGTTAACATTTACACTGCACGTACCGCTAAATTACGCTTAAGAACCTAAAAACTCTTCAGTACTTACTAACTGACTCTACTAATACCCACACTCCCCACGGAAACTCATAGAGTTGGGTTAATAATTATGAGCTAAGTACAGATCTATGACTTCCGTGTTAGGCGAGCAGTAGCAGTTCACGGAGATGATGGGCTGGCGGCAGCACCCGCAATTACCGGGCAGGCGTCGCGGCGTGCGCAGAGCGGAGCTGCGCCCGCGCGGCGATTGTTTACGGCGCGCACGCGCGGCGGCCCCCCGCTCCCCTGCGGCAGCTGCTCCGCACACAGGTGGCGCGTGTGGGAACTCGACGGCTCCGTTCGTTCCCACGATAGCGCTCCCTATATAAGCCCCCGCGCGGCCGACGAGCCGCATTCCGCGTTCGACACTCGACGTTTACGCACATTTACTCTCTACACACAAATGACCGACATGTCTTACGAGATCGCGTACTCACTCGCAGACGACGGCCCGCAGCCGGTCTCGCGCACTTACCAGTATCGTAAAGTGATGAAGCCGATGCTAGAGCGCAAAAGGCGCGCTCGCATCAATCGTTGCTTAGACGAACTCAAGGAACTAATGGTCAACGCTCTACAATCGGAAGGCGAGAACGTCGCTAAACTTGAGAAAGCTGACATCCTAGAGTTGACCGTTCGCCACCTTCACAAACTTCGCCGCCAGAGGAGGCTGTCGCTGAACCCTACCGTGGACGCCGACCGCTTCAGAGCAGGATTCACGCACGCCGCTAACGAGGTCTCACGCTGTCTTGCTTCAATTCCCGGAGTAGACGTAAGGCTGGGAACGCAACTGATGACCCACCTCGGCCACAAACTGAACGATATCCAGCGCGCGGCTGCCGGGGCTGACACTCCCCCAGCCAGCCCGCCCAGCCCCGCGCTCTCCACTGTGTCCTCATCATCAGGCTACGTGACTCCATCACCGCCAGCTTCCCCGATGCCAGTCCACACTCCAACCCCCTTGGACTGCAGCAGGACCACCCTAAGCAAGTCTCCGGCCGTGTGGCGACCGTGGTAAATAGACCGCTGGATCGGGCGGACCCGGCTTCACGGTCACATCTGTTCCAGCACCGCTCGGAGTCGCACTCGCCTTGCAATGTGTCCGCCCTCGTCCAACAACAGTTTAAAGTGTTACAATTTGCTCACGTAAAAAAGATTAGAAGAGTATAGATCTCACAATTTAACTAGTGTATGGTTTAAAAAATCGTAGATTGTAAGTAAACTTTAAAGCTTTAAAAACTTTAGTTTGTAAGTATATTGTGATATTAAAGAGTAATATTATTGTAAAACTAATAGATGTTGTATCGAACCATGAGACCAAGAGTGGATTCGAATTGTTATTTTTTATCGTTGAAAAGATTTCACTAAATGTGAACAAAATGCAAAAGAGTAAGTTAATAAAAAATAATATTTCTACTCGTATTTCTCTATTTTATTTTCATCCTCTTCGATTATCATTTACGTAACAACAATACAAATCAACCGCATCAACACGAGTTTACGAAATTAGCATATCAATAGCGAACCTCAGCATATAGACGAAATTAGAAATAAATACACGGCAAATAGCTGCAAGTTGATAAATGGGTGTATATTTTGATAAAAGGGTTAAGGGCGACTCGTGGACCTCTGACATGACTCGGCCGCGCGTGCTCAGTAACTTTCCTGTTTGCAATACAAATAGCTAACGTAGCCATTAACCGGTTACTTGAGAATCGAGACAAATATATGCACGTTTGATAAGGCGATGTAATTCACGCGAGACGTCACGGAAAGTTAATGAAGTATAATGGCACAGCGACGGGTGGCATTTATCACCAAACGCATACGTTCTTATCAGTACATTAAATATTTGTAGGAAGCGCATGGTGTTTTACAGTGGCTTATGACAAGAGAAGAATGCAGAGAGTAAGACAATACTAAACTTTTAAATACATGCATCGACAAATTAGGTATGATATAAAATTTTGTGGTAATGCATTTAAGTACATGCTAAATTGAACTGTAATTAGAAACGGAAACACTCACGACGTTTGTCATAGTTGAAATAGCTGACGCAAATAATGATAACATTAGCAAACATTATATTAGAATAAGTCATTTCTACACGATATTTCTTATTTTTTGGTTTCATATAACGACAAATTCTGTGGTTTTCATTTAATTTTTAAAATTAAGGACACCTTATCTTATGCAAAGCTTCACTTATATCCAAACCTTAGGTATTATTAATTTACATGATATTAAATAACGGAAAAATATAATACTAGACAAAACTTATTATAAAAATTTTAATACCAGAAAGTTTATAAGTAGAAATTTTTCCTTGAAGGGCATCGTGCACAGAAGGCTGGCAACATTTCCCATGAATAATTTATCCTTAGGCGGAATTAACTGACAGGCTTGTGGTCACCAGAGGATTCTACGAGGCTATATGACAGCTCGTTCGCTAGAAGTTTCGTGTGTGGCCCCCAGGGACCCAGGGTTTCAACCGCAAAAGGCACGGAGCTGTAGCACTGTGCAAGGTTGGGGTATTTGAGCCTTTTTCGGTTTTTAGCCGCTGTGATCTTAATTAATTATTATTTTTTAGTGTTAACTTGCCATATCGCGATGAAATGTAAAGTCACATTCAGTAGATATCCACCAAGTACATTATCCATTTTTTCTCTAGATTTTGCATTTTTTGTACAATCGATACAAATAACGCCATCTGTTAAGATCTAAGGAAAGCTTGGTTCTATCGAAAGCGCTGGCTGTAGCGCCATCGTACGAAAAGCTCTTGAACTAGCACTTAACGTTGTGTACTACGATGGCAGGCAGCTTACAAAGCTTTTATAGTAAGAGTGGTCATGGATATGGTGAAACTTTGTGCACATGGTAAATCCCAAGAAAGTGTTTGTTGATCTGCGGTACATCTTAATTACACGAATTTAAACCTTGTGTATATTATTAAATGCCGTATTTTGTTTTTAATTCAAAATTATCTTCTTATTTTATTGGTAAAATATATCTTATTTTATTGGTAAGTTAGTAAATAATAATAAATAAATATTAAACAACATCACATACATTGCTCCGATCCCAAAGTAAGTTACTAAATCATATGTGTAATATAAATCGGTAACAACGACAATATCACAAACACCCATACCGGAGACCAAGCCACTCGATAACGACAGTCGTCTTTACAAAGTATATATATGTATATATATAATTACCACTTTACCTATTTCCGCCGCTAAGCAGTAATACCAGTATTACTGTGTTCCGGCTTTGAAAGGTGAAATTAAATTAACTTACGTCTAGGGGTGTCGGGCGCAGTGGCAGTGCCCCTCAGATCTTTGCAATGTAAAGCCACCTCGCATTTTTGTCGTAAAGAGCTGCAACACATAGTGTTATCATCGAAGAAAAAGTTTACCCCGGTTTTGCAAATCCAAATTCCCAACGAGGACTTATGGAAAAGACGTTTAGTATACTAGTTTCAAAATTGCACAATAGTTTTTGATCAATCAAACATTTAAGCATAGGGCACTTAATACTGAAAATGGTAGAACTAAACAGAAACGGAGACGTAGTTTGCCAATGGTAAAAACTTAAATGCATTAATAAAACTTGCATTATAATAATATCAAATAATAAATAACCATGTTATATACCTGCCTACATAATATATACGAGTATTTGAACACATAAATATACTTAAGTAATTCTTCTACTTACTAATAAATATACAGATTAAGTTGCAGGCTAAAACCGTGCCAAAAGATACTTACGCAATCAAGTTTTGACTTACAATGTCGGATCTCAGAAGGGAGTTTCGTTCCATAATTGAATAGCTAGGTTTAGTTTAGTTTTATCACACCGAGGTTCTTATTACCTAAATTTAAAACTAATTTCTCTTGGTATAATAACGTAAGATGTTATGTAATTTTTTTTAGATAACTTATAATTAACATAAATTCCCATATGACCTAGAGGCACTTTTTAAATGGTTTATTTCTTATTTATAATGGTTTATATCTTATTTTATGGAAGAAAGAAATAAAGAATATTGAATCTGGATATGTATGCATGTAGTGATCTGGATAGGTATGCATGTAGTGATCTGGCATTAAGTAGCCAGTGTTGGCCAGGTCAAATCTGAGAAAGTCGGAAGATATTGCACAGAAAAATACAATAGATTTTATTCATATTTATTGATTTTATTTGCACCGATTCGCCCTGTAGCTTCATCTTTAGAATACAATAGGACAAAAGAATGAACCGTTTCGATAACCCACGTGTCATCCTGTATAGTACTACTTCTTTAAATACTTTTACGAATTGGCACTTAATTCTTAACTGAATAATCTTTATGCATAAATAACTAACTGAATTAGTAAGAAAAGAGACGGCAGTTGGTATTTTACAAAGCATCTACTGATCAAAAAATCGGTTGAGTAAAGAAATAATTGAAACTAGAATTCAGAAAAAGCATTTAGCGCACCCATGACTGGTATACTTAACGATATTGTATACAGTGTATTGAATAAAATAGAGTCATTTATTTCGTATCATCAATTTCATAATATTACAATTCGAAATATAATGTCGAGTGACAACATGGTTGTCATTAATGTAAATAATAATTGTATTGTTAATATAAAATAAAATAATTAAAAGAAAAATAAAGAAAAATAGGAACTATAAAAATACTGTTAGAAATCTAAACCAAAAATCATAAAAACGACTAGAAATCAAGAATAATTTTAATGAAATAAAAATCGGTTACAAAATCTAATGTAATCGTATTTGAAAAGATCGGGACGTTATATAAATCAACGATAGATAAATAC